AGTTTCATCAGAAAAGCAAAAATGGAACTTCCATTTGACCCAGTGATCCCACTTCTAGGAATATATCCCAAGAAACCAGAAATACCAATCAGAAAGGATATATGCACCCCTATGTTCATAGCAGCACAATTCACCATAGCTAAGATTTAGAAACAGCCTAAGTGCCCATCAGCAGATGAGTGGGTTAAAAAACTGTGTGGTACATCTGTAAATAAAATAAAATGAGATTTGCAACAGCATGGATGGAACTGGAGAGCATTATGCTAAGTGAAATAAGCCAGTTGAAGAAAGATAAATATCACATGATCTCACTCATTGGTGGGATATAATGAACAACATGAACTGATGAACAAAAACAGAACCAGAGTTATCAACCTATGTGGGAATGTGGGGGGTGAGCGACATTAAACAATAAAGAACTTAAATTAAAAATATAATTGGTACAAACTATTAGAATTTCTTTACTGATAAGAGAATTTCTTTACTGATACAGAAGAATAGTACGCATAATCAGAAACGTTTCTACTGATATTCCTATGACAAACCCTCTATGCATACAAGTACTCATTGTTTACTGCAGAGCAGATGATTTTCCTGGCTTCCCTTGCTGGTCACCCTTCTAACCTTTATGCTTAAAAAAATGTTGGATTTATTTAGAGTCTAAAATGTCAGATAAAAACTATTGATTAAATTTAGTTTTACTTTTAAACCTTCAGTAATTTGCAAACTTTTCTCATCATCATGCCAATTGTTTTAAATTGTTTTCACATATTCTACATTTTAAGCATTTTTAAAAGTATGACAGTATCTGCTGTAACAAATCTATCATAAAACATGTTTAAAAATATGAAGATAAATGGACATAGCAATAGGCAAGGGAGATTGATAACTATACTGAGAAAATAGAACATGATTATTTTTCTTAGAATGGCACTTGGCCTGGCCTTGCCTGATGGGCACGGATAGAAGGGAGCTAACTAGGTGTAGAGTTGCCAGAGTGTCTTAATAAAAGGGCGACTCTGATTATTGGAATAAAAAAAATCCTCCCCTTTCTTTCCTTTATGAACACCTCCTTCCCTCCCTCCCTCCCTCCCTTCCTCCCTTTCTTCCTTCCTTCCTTCCTTCAGATGTGGAGAAAAATATAGGCAGTACAACACAGCTCCACAATAGCAGACCAGGAATAGAACACAGGACTTATAGCATAGGAAATAAAATATCATTATTTTTCTTAATGTAATTCAACATGAAAACGACTTTAATTTATGATGGTGAAGCTCTTGTATCATAAGAGTTCATTTATATCACTACACTAATTAAGATTTCAGGAATAATTGAGTGGGTCAATGAAATAACTAATTCCAAAGTAAGGATTTATGATACATCAGAATGTCATATTTCACTAAAGTTTGTGGAGAAATTCAGGATCATAATTAAGGCAGTTACTTATAATGGGAAAAATGTTTAGATAAGCAGTTTATGGTAGCAGTAGAGGATTAAAATACCAAAAACGTTCCATATTATCTTATTTTGTTACACTTGGTTTTGTGCCTTAATTAGAAAATGTTCTGATCATTAATGTTGATGTGTATTCTTTTTTTTCATGATGTGAAAATATGGATTGCTTTTAGCCAACTATGTTTATGATAGAAGTTAATCATATGCTCATAACTGAGGTTCATACCTCCCTTGGTGATAGTGATGCATAATTCAGCATAGTATCTAAAGTGGGAATAAATTGGGCTGATTTCCTAGACTTATAAAATGAGCACAACAATTTTGAAAGAGAACAATTACTCTTGCCCTTTGCAAGTACCCAATTAAACCCCAGAATATTGGGAAGCATGGTGGTAAGAGGGCAGAGTGAGCATCTGAGCTCAAAATATGGCCCTTTTTCTGACATGTTATTTTTCATTCAGACAATTACCGCTTGAAGTAAAGGTGTCTATTTTAAAGTTGGGCTGGGTTACTATAATACAAAGGACTTGTTATTCATCCTGAAGCAACTATTGGAGAGAACTATGAAATTCTAGAGTGACTTGAATTTAGAAGGTTAGAAGTAAAACAGTAAAATTCTAGGGTGATGACAACACAAAAGTTGTCATCCTGTGCAGCAAGCCAGTAAGTGGTTAAAGGTTACAAGATGTCATATTAAAAGAAATAGTGCTTTACATTGATGGTCTTCAGCTTTTGAAGGATGAAATTTTACCAAGAGAAAGAGTCACTAAATAACCAATATGTACATCTACCTGCACTAGAGAGATACCATGCTGAGAGCCAATGGGAGGTGGCTCAAGGCTGAGCACCTCACTTGCTATGCAGGAGTGAGGATCCTGAAAATTATAAACTGGTGCAAAAGCAACACATCACTTTTAATCTCTGTTTGGTGGGGAGTCTGATGCACAAATGCCCACACCCTCTCCTTGCTAGAGATTGGGTGACACAGGGGCAAAGAAAAAAAAGTGAGACACAGGTCACTAGTATTGCTATGAGACCTATGAGAGCAAGATGCCATAAAATAAGGAACTCCTGCCCGAAGTGCGAAACTGAGCTGTGTCATAACGAACCACAGGAGGAAACATCTCATCCACATCCTAGTACATATTTCTTGACATTAGGATTCAACTTTTTAAAAACATTTTAAATTGATTTTATTGAAGTGTATTTTTTTTTGCATTTGACATTCATATTTTACAATTCATAAACCTACATTAACACATCATTATCACCCAAAGTCCCTCTTTTACATCAGGGCTCACTCTTGCTGTTGTCCATTCTGTGCTTTTGGACAAATGTATAACAACATGTGTCCCCCATTAGAGTGTAACAGAGGGCAGTTTTACGGCCCTAAAAATCCTCTGTGCTCCTCCTACTCACCCCTGCTTCCTCTTATCCCCTGGAAACCACGGACTCTTACTGTCTCCATAGTTTTGCCTTTCTTAGAATGTCGTATAGTTGAAATCATACAGTATGCAGCCTTTTCTAATTGTCTTCTTTCACTGAATACCATGTGTTTAAGTTTCCTCCATGCCTTTTTATTGCTTGGTAGCTCATTACTTTTTAGCTCTGAATAATAATCTATTGTCTGAACATACCACAGTTTAATTAGCCATTCACCTACGGAAAGGAATCTTGGTTGTTTTGGATGGTTAGTTATTGGAAAATGATGTCATAAAACGTAGGTAGATTCCCATATTTCCAATTGTGAATTAGAGTATGCTCTACCCATGCAGAAAATACATTGATAGTATAGCTTTTCTGAGCTTGTCTCAGAAAGGAAAATGTACCATGAATGCCATTGTAAGTAATGTGCTAAGAGAAATGTTGATGAGGCATCTCATCTGACATACTGTCCCCACCTGATTAAAAATGTGAATTTTTAATGAGAAAGATAAATTCCTTTACTGAGCTTTCATATGTGAAATAGAAAATTATGCTTTGAACCTTTGAAGATAATTATATCTTCAAGGGGTTTACCTTGCTTGTTTATGGCTTTTATGTTTATTGTTTTACTCATTTCACAGATGGAATTTTATTCAAGGATGGTCTTAAAATGTTGCCTGTTTCAACTTTTATTCTAACTTCTTATCTTCTCATAAATCTTACACTTTAAGGAAAGAGGACCAATGACAAAACCCCACAGGTGGTCCCCTGATGTTTATTTTGAAATATAACATGTTGCTATGATTCTAGTCACTAAATAAAAAACAGAATTGAAAACAACAACAATTCCTTAAGCTATGTCTCTAACTAAAAAAATTAAAATACTTTGTACAAACATGTATGGATTGTCAATAATTTAATGTTAGAGATCCGCCGTGTTCCTCCAACACATGTAATATCATTTACTAATAGTGGCAGCCTGATAGCTAAAGGCAAAGTGAAAGGTGCCGGCAAGAGAAGCCTTACTTCCAGATCCATTGTCATTGTCATGATCCTCCAATTCCTCATGTAAAGTCTCGCATTTCAAACTCAAAGCCATGGCTCAGTATGATACTATTTTAAGATGTTCCAAAACATTAAGGTATTTACATTTGAGATAAAAGACTTATTTACTTCATGGTACCTGAAATATGACTTCAGAATTGTTAAAAATAATAATTTCTCTTAATTTCAACTATGTAACCAAGCATGGTTTGCTCATGAGTAACCTTGTGAATTTAAAGCTATTTAATTAGAGAATTTCCTCCAGAGTCAAGGTAAAAATACTGATAGTACACATTGACCATTTTCTAATTTTAGCCATATTAGAGATTAAAATATTTTGCTAAATCACACAGGTATACAAGGTCATTTCAGGTTGAAATGAGAGTTCTATTTATGTAGATATGGAATCGTGACTTACCCCTGTCTGTGTCATACAGGAAGACAAAACAATTCCATTCATAGTGATCCAGCAGACTTAAGAGTGCTCCTCGCAAGGAAGGTCTCAGCTGCAACACAAACTGGCTCTCCCCCTCGGTAGGGAAACTTGGTGTGATGAGGGAGATGTGTAAGGCGCTGCAGAATGAGGTCAAGGTGTGTACTGACCTCTTATCATAGAGTCCAAAAATGGCAAATACTCCTCTAGAATACTGGGAACAGACTGAAACGAAAGAAAAAAAAAAGAATACAAACCATTAGTACACTCTAAAATTTTTAACTTCCACATCTACAGTTGATGAAATGAAAAAGAAATCTCTGAATTACTGGCATTCAGGAATATAAGAAAAGGTTACAAGTGAAGTGTGTCATCAATTGTACAATCAATTAATGAATTCTTGAACTTGTAATCAAAATCCTGCATTGAGTGAGATAACTTGGAGCTATATGCTTCCTTTCCCAAGAAGCTGATTTAAATTAAAGGGAAGTTTAACTAAAATGATGTAATCTATGGTATTCCAGGATAAGGCGGCAAATCCTAAGTGAGAGACTCTCAGTGTGAAAAAAATCTAAATTTTTCTCCATATGTTTCTCTTACATGTAAAAATATAATATCATACTTTGAAAATGTTTAAGTATATTTAGAGGAACATTTAAATAACCAGAGTGCCATCCGTTGTAAGCCATATGCTTATCTTGTCTAGTTTGAATTGGACTGCACTTGTTACTCGGCCTAAATTATTAATTTTTTTTTTGCAGTGGCAGTTTCATTTTTTATCACAACCTTAGAGTTCTCTTGAATCTTGCTTGAAAATAAAAAATTATTCAGTCTGGAAAGTCATTGTTGGGGTATGCAAGATGCTTAGCAGAATTGTGCCAACTTGTGCAGCTTGTAGGTAGGCCACATGCAAAGACAGTTCATTCCACACCCAGAAGAACGTTGTTCTCCTGAAAGAAGAGACTCCGAGGTAAGCAGGTGCCCAGGCTCACCTTGCCTTTCTTTCCATCCCCCGAGTTGTTGCAAAGACAATGGGGCAAATTTATAAAGAGAAGAAAATTGTCCTGGAGATTCTTGCCCCATCATATTTTGATCACTTTATTGACATGACTGATTTCTAGTTCAAACTTGGGTGACTTTTTCTTTGAGTGCAAATGTAGAAAAAGGAAAAAACAACAAAATGAGGACAAAACTTTTTTCCCCATTCCTCATCTATAATAATAAAAGGGTAATGTGCTAATTAGACTGGACATCCTTCCAGACATCCTTCCTTCCAGACAAAGCCGCAGTGGGTTGGGGCCACAGTGGCGGCAGCGGGCAGGGGCCGGGGTCAAGGTCCTTGCACAAATTTTGTGCATTGGGCCTCTAGTTTATAAATACATTGAGACTTCTTGAATTTCAAATTCTTCTAGTTTATCACATGGCTAAAGGTCCTATCTCGCCTTGGCTTATTTAGCTGGTTAAAGCTAAATAAGCTTTATAAAAATTTTTCTGTTTTCTGATTTTGGTTACTGATTGTAATTGCTACGCTCATTAAGAAACCCAGAGTATGGATAATCTAGATGTATTTATCTTAGCAGTAGTTCATAGTGATACAAAGAAATTAGATTTTGCTTTGTTAAAGTAATAATAGGCTCTTAGAAAACTAATTTGCCTACTAACATTTATATCTATATTCCACAATATTTGAGTTTTTGGAAATTATGAAGCATAATTAAATAGGAAAAGTTAATAAAACATGGAGGTGTTTCTTTTGTTCTTGTTTATTGTATCTCTTGAAATTGAGAATAGAGTTTAAGCAATGTAATTGTACATAAGAAGGTAGCAATTACAGCAAATGAACGCTGTTGGTCTTCTTTAGATGATGTGCTCTGAGAGATACCGTAAATGTTCTAGGCTCACCCAGGAACTAGGATTCGATCACCTGAATAGATTGACCAACCTGGAAAGTTAGTCCTGGCACAATGACTGACTGTCATTTTCTTGCAAGATATAAAAAACATTATTTTGTAACATTTTGGGTTTCAACTGAATTTACTTTTATACCTTAAATGACCTGATTAATTAAGCTGCTGGATCAGACCATAACCTTGTGAATGTTTCATCAAGAATTTGGATGTATTTCTGTAAGTGCTGCACATTTAGCATAACCTGGAGGTACTCCTTTGTGTTGTCATATTTTTTCTGTTCTCTTGATTTTTTCATGGATATTGAGGGTTCGCTTTCAATCTTTACATTGCAAATAATCTACTTCAATTAATTTTTATTTTACTTTACTGAAAAAAATAAAGTTGAAGAGCTTTAGAAATCATATCTAAGATGCTGACTTTCTATTTGGTGCTAAAATTACACACAGATTTTATTACATTTTCAAGAAAATGTAAACATGCAGGATTTACAAGTCATGTACTTTAAGTTATTCATGCATGTAATGAGCAGTTGCATAATCCCTTCTGTTTTGGGACTTACCTTTGTCAAATATTGGTTTCCAAACAGTGAGTTTTTAGGAACTCCACAAATTCTCTAGGGGGACTTGCATAGCTTTGCATGAGAACCTTTGGTGAGAAGTGGGTGGGTGGGCAAGCCTGGACCCCTTCCAATTTTATGTATTTCAAATATTGAGCAAACATAAAATTTTATGTGCAAAAAATACTACACTTCGGAAAAAAGGTCAGAAACAATGTATCCTGCACAAAATCCCTCTACTGTTTGTTCCTATTATACTGTTTTCAGACTTCATTATGACTTTCCACTACTTTGGTGCTCGCTGGACTATTTAACTTATTTTAATTTATTGTGTTTGATACTGACCAAACTTAATGTTTTTGATATTTAAACATATTCTATCTACTTTCATTCATAAGCATCATCATAAATATGTATCTCTTCTCCTTTTCATAGCCATCTGTTATTTTGCCTTTAATAAACTAATTTTGAAACTGTACTAAATATTAGATTAATACTTTGCTTCTGGCTGCATCATGTCACTCAACTTTTCACTTTGCAAATGTCCAGAAATGTTAATATTATTCTATTAAACTTTTTCTTGGGCTATTTTACCTAGATTATATGCATGGCATCTGAGGATTATTGGGTTTCCTATGTGTGTGAATGCATTGTCAGTCAAATGCTCAAAGTTATTATCTCAGTGTGCTATCCTGGAAACTATTTTATTTAGTCCAATAGATTAAATTTTAAAATATAATTATTTCCATATTTAGTATTACCATCTAGCTTTGCATCAAGTCAAAATTTACTTAGTTATGTCTGATGACATCTATTGATGTTTGTCATACAAATAATTATGCAAACAATGGAACTTAAACTATATATGCATACATCAACTAATTAGAGTAAGCTAAACTGAATATCAATGTGTTCAGAATACATAAAAGGGAGCAAACCGAATCTTATATAGATGGCTAAATAAAATAAGCAAGAGAACACTGAGTCACTAAATAGTTGCAATCCTATTAGGTAGATACATGGTTTGAAAAATAAACACTAACCAAGTTTCATTGCATATTCTGTATTCTGCTTTACTAATGAAATCACTTGGGTCCTGCATTGTGTAACTAAACATATAATATAAACACATGGTCATAAGCCATTCATCTTTACTTGATGGTGTCAATGAATTAACTATGTCTTCTCATCAAGTAGTCACCCGGTTTCATCCCAGATTCTACATTCCAGATGCCAAACCAGTGAAATTGTTATGCAGTTAGTGACAGTTTATCACCCCATGTCACATACAAATCGAATGGCATTGTCTTAGCTCAGTGTCTCAAGTTGTGCGCATTAGAGCAAAGTGCTGAGTCTGACACGGCCACCAAAGCAGGAGAGGAAGGACGCAGGCCAGTGCTTCACCCCGGGCCCTTTCCTTTCTCCTGTATTTTCAACTTTCCTCTTCCCTAAATGCATTCCCAAAATGCTTTCAAACAAGCTGAACTCCTTCTTGTTTTATGAAACACAGAACTTTCTCGACCCTATGCTTCCTACCTCTTTTTACCCCTTCCCAGTCACTAAAGGAGTCTTTCACTTACACTGTTTCAAAGTCATCTGACTGCTCTACTTCCCAGCCACCAAAACCACCCTCATCAATTTTGCAAATGACCAAGTACAACCTAAATCTTACAGTTTAGCTCCTATCTTACTGGAACCCTTTCCTGTCTTTGACACTTTGGGCACTTCCCTCAGATGCTTCCTTCTCTTGCTTTCTTACCACCATGCTCTCGTCTTCATTCAGTCTCTCTAGATATTTCTTAGTGTCTTTGAATATTCTTTCCCTCTGCTCCTTTAAAGGTGGTAAGCCTTAAAACTCCCCTCTTTACTTTAAATGCAATTCCACTGAAAATGGCCAACCCTGGGGCTCTAATTACCGCCTATGTAATCATGATCCCCCAAACTGTACCATTTACTTCAAACCTTTCTCTTGAACTCCAGATCTATGTATCTAAGTTCATCACTTCCAACCCACTGTGAATTTTAGTACAGCTGTATTTTCTCTCTCTCACACTGTATTCCAGAACTTTGATACTTTCCTATTCAGAGCTGGAGTCTGATCTTCCAACGTGAACACGGGCTGGCTTCAGTGATTGCCTCAGTGATTAAAGTGTGACAGACGTGACTCTATGTGACTTCTGAGGCTATGGCTGCCTCTCTGTTGAGACAGATTTTTTTTTTTTTACCCAGCTACCATGCTGTGAGGAAGACCATGTGACGTGAAGAGGCCCACATAGAAAGGAACCAATATTCCTATCCCTCAGCATCAGCTAAGCTCCAGATTGACAGTCAAATGAACTAATTCCTATATAATAAAAGGCTAATATGAAAATTGTCCCCTAGACCAGGAGTTCGACAAGGGGGCAGGGCTGGCCTGTCAATCACCCCCGGCTCCTCCCCCTAGCTGGCCTTGCCCCCGACTGCCTCCCCACCCTGATTGGGGTGGGCTGGCCAAACCCCACTGGGCCTCTAGTAGCAATAAATAACCAGGATGATCTTTGTATCCAGTACTTAGGGGTATGCCTACGCATGGTAAGGATTCAATAAATATTTTATAGATACACTTTTAAGGAATGTTGCTTTATTTTTGTGCCACTGTTTTTTTTTAAATTCTTAATATTAAATATTTGAATTGTTGTTTTGTTTTTCTTTTTTCTTTTTTGCTATTATAACTAAAGCTTTCATGACAACCATCTCTGATTATTCATTAAGGTAAGCTG